TGACGATGATGGCTCGCCGTTTCACGGTTCCGAATAACACAACCTGGTCGTCCTTTGAATCCCAGCTTCACCTACTCTTCCAAATTCCTTCGCAAACCCCTATTTCTCTCTCATATACCGATGAAGATGGTGATATCATCACCTTATCGAGTGATTTGGAGTTTAAAGATATACTTTCTGACCAAGAATTATTCGGTTCTTCTATAAAATTTGTTTTGTCAACTCCTGACGAATTTGTCACTAATGAAACAGATAGCTGGGTATTAGAAGGAAGTGCTGCACAAATAGAAGAAGGGTTATCTCAATCTATTAAAGATAGCGATGTTGTTAGTTTTAGTTCTTCTGATGAAGATACTTCACCAATAACAGTGGACGAATCGCAAGAACAAAATTCAAATGAACCTCAGCAATCGTTTGTGTTCACTGAACCTTCTGAATCGCAAAAGAATCCGAATTATAAACACGTGACGATCACTGATGAAGAAACTGAAGAACCAACTTTTAAACCAACTATCATTGGTCAACAACCTGAAACTAGCGGCGAGCCATCATCGTCATCTATCGTCGATGAAGATAAATCTAAAGAATTACCTGAAAAAGAAACAAAACAACCTGAATCAGATCAATCAACTGATAATAATAATAATAATGATGATGAAAGCATATTTTGGATTTATCATAACGATAACTATCCTCGCTGTTATACTCAATTTAATGATGATGATTATTATTATAATTCATACTGTCGTTATTCGCCATTTAGATATTCAAGGATTCATCATACACGTAGACGTTGCTCGGCATTTTATAAATTCATGAAATTTATATTATCAGTATCCCTAATAATGACAATTTTAAAATCATTATTTTTTATGATTTGCCCATTAATAAAAATTTTGATTTTAGTATTTGCATTGAAATATTTAAAGAGCCTCTGCCACAAAAATGATGATGACGACGACGAAGGAAATGATGAAAGATTTTGTTCATGGAATAAGTTCGGATCTAGATTTAAATTTGGTAGATGTCATAAAAGGCGATGGAATAGGAATAATCAATGTTATCAACTAAGGGAATATGATAATGGAAATTTTAATGAAGAGGTTGTTGCTGAAAAGGTGAAAGTTTTAAGAGATATGGGATTTGAAGGTGAAAATTTTGAAGAATTGGTAAAATTGTATAATGGTAATATTGATTTTGTTATTGAAACATTATTACAACAATAATTTTAAGTTTATTACTCGTCGTGAAATCTGCAAGTTTACGAAATATTAGTACATATTGTCAATAACATGCAAGATTTTCTATTTTTTAACAATTTGAGTTTTCTTTCTTTTTTTTACAATATTCAATTTATATTTATCGTGAATTACTGTATAGAGACAATTATATGATTAAATTTTTCAATGAAATTAAATAAATAACTGTAACATAAATAATGTTCGGAACATCTGAGGCTCTTGTGAAGTTATTTAAATTCATTTGATCATCAATAAAATCTTAACAGATGTATTAATGGCATATAAAGAATAAATCGAACTTGAAATAATATATTGAACTCGATAACAATATGAAAACATAGTGAAACCCAATTATGAAGTTTCGACTTAAGATACAAAAGTTTATATACTGTAACTCTATATAACCTATATAATAAAAAAAGAAAGTACAATAGTAATGTTTGATCTTTTAAAAGATATCTCATCTTACAGTAGTAGATACTGGATATATAATAAATAATAATTTCTTAGTGTAGAGGTTGCGTTCACTAAACTTGGAACATACCATCTACAGAGCCAAAAATTGACGGATATTGTGGATTCATAGTGTTATCACAATCTTCTAAAGGCACATCAATAACTATAAAATAAAAAAAAAAATATTTCTTTTAACCCTTTAATACAATAAAGATGTCATGAATAATCAATAAACCTTATATATACATTGAATGACTCCCATGTTGTAATCACTTGTAGTTGTAATTGAATAGTCCCACGTATAAAGAGGTACATCAGGTCCGAAATCAGTTACATTACCTAACAAAAAAAAAAAAAATGTTAAATTGGTTTCTGAAAATACTATTAATGATAAATTAGAAACTTTATCTTACTTGCAATTGGTCTCGTTTCCCAATCATAACCAAGTTTTTGAAAGCAAACGTCACAATACAACTTGTCTTCGACTACGTATTTCCATCTGCAATTACTACATCTATTAGCGATCTTACAAGTTAAATCCTTCTTTATACAGCGTGTACAGGGTTTTTCGTCACTACATTTTTTTTTCGAAGCTCGGCATCCAGTACAAGCGTTGTTAGTACGCTTTTTTGAAGTTTGGGACTTATCACAGCAATATTTTGTTTCACTTGACTGCATTACCAATAAATTTTAGATTTATGGTTAAAGGTTTGTTAATTGAGCAAGAAAAATACTTTGGAAAGAGTAATAGCATACTGCATAAAAAAGCCTTTGTCTTTTCTATTTCGTAACCTTTCACAAGTTCCGCTATTTATTGTACAAGTTCCGCTACTTCACTGCGTTGGTTTGAAGTATCTCTTTATTATTTTGAAAAGTTTAGTCAAGAAATTTGAAAGATCTCCTCGAGGAAATTAAGTTACACATCGATGACAATACGTATAATGTAATAATGGGAATATTCGGAGCTTTGATGCTGAAATCAACAGGAGCGACCGTCATTGTTACACGAATTATAGATCGCTTCCGAAATTCTCCAACCCAATCAAAATTGACATCACATTGGGGTGTTGCACATCATATGATTAACTATCATAGTGCAGCGCTATATGTAATTTACACTATGTAAGATTTTTCA